CGGGGGCGCGCCAGGTGTGACAGCCACGTGCGGCCGGCACCGCGGGGCCGTGGGCGCCAGGTGTGCTCTCTCGCGGCCCCCTCCTCGTGTTCCCCTTGCTCCCTGCACGGGGTGCCGCCTTCGGGGGCTGCTTGGGGCCATCGTTTCGCCCTCTTCTGACCGGGCAGGTGCGCAGGGAGCGCTGCGGGGTGCGTCCGGGCGGCGCGGACGAGGCTGTTGCGCAGTAAGATAACCGTGTGGGTGCCGGGTCAGCACTGTGTCCCCTTTGCCCGCACCTCCTGCTCTCCCCGACACTAAGCGGGCGGTCGTTGCGGGTACGGAGGGGCTGTTCTGTTCCCGGGACCCAGGCCCCGGGGGTCGTCTCTGGGCGCCACGGGCATGGGTGCACGTGGGGCTGGCGATTGGGAGGTGATGCTGGAGAACCTGGGTCCCGCAGAGTTGGGAGCAGCATTGCGTGATAGCATCTTCCCAATCCAGCCCCCTCCCTTCTTGCTATTTTTTAAAAAAAATTTTGCCCTCTTCTTCCTTTCTTAAAATTTATTTTATTTTTGGTGAGCGTAAATTTGAGCACCTTTCGGACCCTGTCCTTTCGTCTCTTAATCTGGGAGACAGGCTGGACCGTTCCCCTTGCCTTACTTGACTCACGTCAAAGGAGTTTTCAATGTCTCCCTGGATACAGGAAAATCGAGACCTTCAGAGTGGGAGAATTCCACTTGTTCTGGAGTCAGTGGGTGGAGTTCAAAAAAGATTGCACAACGAATGGCAAACAGGGCTTTCAGGGCCCAGGAGTGGAGAACTGCAGGGAAAGGGGCTGGAAAGATGGAAACCCCCTCTCTATTTTCTTGCGGTTAAACATCTTGAAACATTGGAGGTCCGGCTTGATCACTCAGGGCTATTTAATACTACAGTTGAGCCTTAAACAACGTGGGGGTGGGGTTAGGGGCACCCTCCCCTGCATAACTTCTGACTACCCCAAAACTTAACTACACAGTTGTCCCTCGGTACCGAGGGGGCTTGATTCCAGGACCCCGCAGATACCAAAATCCTGCGGATGCTCAAGTCCCCTATATAAAATGGCGAAGATCAATGCATACAGTCGGCCCTCCGAATCCATGGACTCCCAACCCGAGATGGAAAACAGTACAGGTATTTATTGAAAAAAATCCGTGTATAAGTGGACCTGTGCACAGTTCAAACCCGTGTTATTCAAGAGTTAGCTGTACTTAATTATGCATTTGAGTATCCTTAAAAATCACTCCTGTGTGAAATTATGAAATAATGTTTTTCTAACGTGACTCATGAACTTGAAAAAGTAGAACAAAGGTTCGGTTTCCATGTGAGCAGTGTCAAGAATTAGCTTTTGGAGGCCTTTTTCTAAGGTCAGGTATTTTCACGTCTCTGCATGAGGGTGTTACTACTTCTCAATTACCTCTCTTTCTCTTCTTCTCTTTGTACTCTAAAAGAAAGATCCAGTACTCGCAGGACTGAAAAAGAAGCTATGAACCAAATGTACTCTAGGGATTGAACACTGTCACTTTGGACACTTCACTTTTCCCTGAGGGTGGGGAGCCAGTCTCAGTGTTTGATTTCATAGGTCCCCTAGGGGAGGACTCTGATAAAAAGCCACTGCAATTGAGGACATAAATTCCCTTTTATGTCACTGGGGTAAGGACAAAAAATCTGAATTAGGAACTGAGGTTTAATCAACTAGCATTTTAAGCCACCAAGATAAGAGGTAATGACTCTTTGAGGCAGCCCTCCTGGTTAACAGCTGGATATGAGTATCATTTGTGTCTGTACTGTCTCATTTTTGTTTACTTACCTCATGCACCTTTCTTCTTTGCTTATGCATTTCTGGGTACCTTTTTTCCTTTTGACTTCTAATTGACCATGAAATATAATTGAGATATATAGTTAAATATTAGGTTTTGAATTTTCATTCAAAATATTGGTCAATATCTTATGTCTATAAAAATCACATTAAAAAAAATTTTTTTAATTGATTTTAGAGAGAGAGGAAGGGAGAGGGATAGAGAGCTAGAAACATCTATAGGCTGCCTACCTGGGCATGTGCCCTGACCAGGAATCGAACCAGGGACCTCTGGGTTCATGGGTCATTGCTCAACCACTGAGCAACACCGGCTGGGCTACAAAAGTCACTCTTACGTTAATTCCTTATGACCCTTAATTTTTTATTTTTTCTGAGTCACTGACTTGAAAAAGTATTCCTAATTCTAACTTGACCTCTGCCCTATTTTTCAGGAAGCAGAAGTGATATTTAACTAATTGGGGTATTTTGAGAATATTGAAGAAATTAAAATTGACCTGCTTTGGTTGCATTATGGGACTTAAAGTGAGAAAGAATTGGAGATGGGCTTTATTGGTTCCTGGTGTTTTTTAACCATCTACATAGTTACTCTTGATCTAAGTTAATTGTGGCATTGATTCATAACTGTATCTATTTGAATGGTCTCTTGTGGTAACTTTTTTCTTCTACAGTTAAGATATAGTACATTTCTAGGGGCCTCTTGAATTGTCTAAAACCATGCAGTCTAATATGATAGCCACTAAACCACACAAAGCTATTTAAATGTTAGTTAAAATGAAATAAAATTAAAAATTCCATTCCTCAGTCATACTGGCCACATTTCAAGTGGTCAGTAACCAACGTGGCCATTGACTACTGTATTAGAGCAGATCTAGAATATTTCCATTATTACATAAAGTTCTGTGGGACAATATTGGTCTGAAAAGATGGGATGTACATTGTCAAGTATTCCAGGCATGTTTTAGAACACCAAGCTTATTCATGTTACTTCCTAAATCCCTATGTAGAATTTGTCTTACAAGGATGAGTTCTTAAAAAAATTAATAGACAATTTTTTTGAGCAGTTTTAGGTTTACAGAAAAATTGAGCATAAATTGGTGGTGTATATCCTGAATTTTGACACATTTATCCATCGTTACAGTATCATACAGAGTAGTTTTACTGTCCTAAAAAACCCCCTATTTGTCCCCCTTCACTTCCCCCAAATCTTTGGTAACCACTCATCTTTTTACTGTCTCTGTAGTTTGGCCTTTCCAGAATGTCTAAGGTTGATTTTTTTTTGGTCCTTTTACTAGATTTTTGCTTGGGAATGTTAAAAATGATTTAACTACTGTTAAATTTACTTTTAGATCAATAAATCATCTGGAAGAATAAAGATATGTGGAATTTAGGCTCAAATTAATAAGATCTTATATTTACATAGTGCCCTATAGTTTTTATGCCATATTTGCATACACATTAACTCTTTCAGCCTCACTTGGATGCTATGGAGGAGGCTGGGCAGCTGTCATTGTCCTTATTTGCAGGTGACAAACTGCTCAGCAAGGTCAAGTGATTAGCCCAAGGGGTAAAGCTGAGTCTGGATCCCAATAAATACCCTTTCATCTACACTACAGTAATAAGTAGTGTAGTAGTGGGTAAATAGTCTGGATTTTAGTCAGGACTCTTGGCTTTCTGCCACTTACTAGCTGTGTAACCTTGGGCAAGTTTCTCAATCTTTCTAAGCCTTAGTTGCATCATCTGTGAAGTGGGGGTGATGCTAATACCACATAGGATTGTTGTGAAGAATAAGAGTTGGTGTGACGCATTCAGCACAGTGCCAAGCATGTAGAATTTTACTTGGTTTGGAAGAGAGAACATGAAAGATTGATTTCTGTTGCTGTTATTCATTTCTAATCTTACAGCCTTTGTATTCTTACTTCTTCCTAGACTCTCTGTGATAGATACAATGAGGAGAAATCAGTTCAGGGTGGGGCAAGAGTATGGGTGAGGTAAGAAGCAACTCATTATTGAGTTTTTCTTTCATTTGTGGTCTTGATGAATTTCCACTCTTCTGGCACCAAGAGGAAGTAATAAGACACAAAGTGATCGTCTATTTACAACATTGTTGTATAATTCTGTCATTCAGCTTTGGTAAATTTCATTTTAGTGGGAACCAAACAGGCATAGCAGTGAGAACAGACCAGCTACAGCACATTCCTCTAGTATTACCATGGTTTCAGTCCAGAATATGACACATTTATTTATCATGTGACTGGAAGGTGTTTTATATGTTATTCTGTGTGTCATTTATATTGATTTCGACTGGAGAAGTTTCATTTAGGAATGCATATATCAAATCCAGATGCCATGACACAGGGTGCATGTGATTCTTTAGGGAAGGATCCATCATAATACATTTCTTTTCAATAGATATGCTGTTCAGATTTTGTACTTTTCAGAAAGTTATGTTTCAAAGGAAAGAAATTTGAGGCCTCACTGTTTCCTGCACTGTGCTAGGCACTTAAAAAGTGCTTACATTCTAGTATCTCCTCACTTCTGCAGAGTAGGTGGTTTCCCCAGGTATATAGATAAAGCATTTGAGGCTCAGGGGGAAAACCACACACAAAAAAGCCTTGCTTAAATAACATAGCTCATAGATGGTGATGTTGGCCTAGAGGTGGTATATATAATTGTATAATTGATAGTGCAACTGATGTTCCTTACTGCATGGACAGTTTCTGCTTACCTAGTAAGTTTTAACGTAATATCCCAAAGAAATCCCTTTGCCTCTTCCTCCTCTTCTTGCCTCCTCCCACCAAATTCCTTCTTGTTTGGATCTAAACTGATTATTAGTAACTTTTAGTTAGTATGCCACAGTACTTTAAAATGTGTAAAGTAGTATACAAATTTAATATAGTATTTATCAGCATTGAGAATTAGCAATATTTAAAATTTTCCCAAGCATTTCCAGAGGAGCATAAAAATAGGTCAGGTGATCCTTTAAGGGTTTGAACCCTGAGAGTATAGTTTTATGATTCAATTTATTTCCTAGTTGAAATTCTCTTGGTACTATAACTACTTAAATTTTATTACATGAAGGAAAAGATATATAAAATGATGAGTGTTGTCCTCCTGTGCTATCAAAATAATTTTATTAGCATTTATTGCACAGAGTGTTGATTTGCATTCTATGTTACATTTCCAAAATGTCCCCAGAATGACTTCCATTATCCCCCACTTCACACTCTGTAGTCTGCCCGTGAGTAATATTGTTAAACCACCACTTTGTGGTTTTTCTTCTTTCCCTACTCTCAGAAAGGTCAAAGTAAGAATGGTTTGGCAAGGAAGATGTGCCAGTAGCTTAGAAGCACATTTTTTTTTTTTTTTTAATCCTCACCTGAGGATACTTTTTCCATTGCTTTTCAGGGAGAGTGGAAGGGGGAGAGAGAGACAGAAACATTGATGTAGATACACCTCAATTGGTTGCCTCCTGCATACACCCCAACCAGGGCCAGGGATCAAGCCTGCAACCGAGGTACATGCCCTTGGCAGGAATCAAACCTGGGACCCTTCAGTCCGCAGGCCAACGCTCTAACCACTGAGCAAAATCAGCTAGGGCAGAGCACATTTGTTGAAGGACTTTTTTGGATTGACATGTTGGCCATAATAAAAGTGAGAATGTAGGCATTTTGCATAATTTGTAAATGCATTCTTATTCAGATATTATTGTAATAGTTCTGCACACTAGCAATTTATATTAATTATATCTAATCTTCTTACAACTCTAGAAGGTAGGGACTGTATATCCCTAGTTTACAGGTAAGGAAACTGAGAGGTTGATCCTCCCCATGGCCACACAGGAGGTAGTGAATGGTATATTCAATGGCAGCTGTTACCCATATTGCATGTGGCTTGTGTTCTCTTAATACATTTCTTGAGGATAGTAAATAAAAATGTATCCCTTATTGAATGTGAGCAAAACTTGGCAGTAGAGAAAACAAGTACTAGTTTTTGCCTAATGAAAAATTATGAAGGGTGGGGTTGGGTCATTAGGGCTATAGGAAAGCTATTGTAAACCAGGAACCAGGGAGTTTGAGCCTTATAGGTTTAATACCTTTTGTTTCATTCACTTAGGCCCTAGGTTGACCTTAGACATATGGTTTAGGAAGCATGCTGTGCTGTAACTCCCTGCAAAGTCACCTCTAAGTGTAATTTAGATAGATCGAAAAGTAGAGAATTTAGAGAGACCTCTTTTTTTAACCTCTTAAGGTCCACACGACACGGTGTTAACAAAGAGCTGTAGTGGACTGGGTAAATAGGACAAGGAAACAGAAGG